GCCTTGCTTCACTCCTCTCGTGGTTCTAAACTCCCTTGAATCCTTTTGTCCATTATCACTTCGCATGTTAATTCTCTATATACCTCGTTTAATATCCTTAGCATTTTTCCAGATACCCTTTCCTCTTCTAGTTTCCTCGTCAGAATTTTTCTGTCCACCGAATTGAAGGCTTTCTTGAAGTCAATGAATGCCAAATGTATGTTTCCTCCGTCTCTCTTAATTTTATTCTTTATTACGCTGTTTAAGGTGAAAATATGACCTCTCGTTCCTCTTTCCATCATGAATCCTGCCTGACACTCTCCTAGTATATTTTCCTCTTCTATCCAGGATCTAAGTCTGTCATTTTTCCTGTCAAGATTCCTGCAAAAATCTTGTATCCCACATCTAACAATGATACCCCTCTGTAATTCTTCGCTTTATTTTCCTCGCCAGCTTTGTAAATTGGAAAAATGCGGGATTTTTTTCATTCCTCTGGTATCCTCCAGGTAACCTATATCTCATTTAGCGTCGCTGTTAAATCTATCAACCAACCATCCATTATATTTTTGTAGAACTATCCGGGGATTCCGTCCTGTCCCACTGCTTTTCCTTTTTTAATACCCTGTAACGGAGAATTCCGGCCGTACCCGTCTGGGCTGCTCGCGACCGTCCGCACAAATTATTTATTCGGGGATTCGGGAAGCAAAAGACGTTCCCACGACTGAATAACGCGTCGAGCATAAACACGTTAAACGCACAGATTCGAAGTCGGGATGAGGAGTGATACAGCGGCGAATAAACACAATAGCGGATTAATACGCTAGCCTTTAATTGTCAACAAACGATTACAATACGGCAACCTCGGACTTACACACTACGAGCGGTACAATAATAAACGCGAACGCGAAGATGAATCGGTGGCTGGTCAGCCTGCCGATTCCCTTATAAAAACTAGATATCATACAAATGCCCGACAAACACTTTTCGCTGATAGGCCATTAACGGGTAGCCAGCAGGTCTGCTGTGCTACCAATCATAGACTGACGCCCAAACATGCAAGAGAGAGAGACCAGAGAAAAATACGGCACCGACCTCGACCTTCAGCCTCTCCGACGGCTGGAGCGCTCTGCACCGTGACGTCACTGGTGTACTCCCGACCGTATTGCTGGTACATTTGTTGTCGCCGCTATCTGTCCTCTGGCTCGTCCTCTTGTTCGCTCCACAATATTGCTGCCTCGATCTCAACCCGCTCGTTGATCGTTGTTTCTGCCGCCTCCTCGTTGCTCGGCGCTGCAGCACGTCAAGTTCCTCGCGCGCTCGCCCGCGCACCTCGCCGGTTACCCGCACGCATTGGTGCCGGGTATCTTGTGGGACACGGCTGGGCGCGACCCAGCCTCACGCTCTATCACTCGTCCACGCACCGGGCGTGTCTCCGGAATAAACAAACGTCGGCGAGGTCGCGAGGCCAACTCGGAAAAAACCGTGACCTTCCGGTTTATCCGCGCGCGCGACTTTCCCTGCCCATTGCCTAGCAGAGACTCTCGAATTTTCCGCGGTGATCCGCAATTCGAGCGCACTCTCTCTCTCTCTCTCTTTCTCTCTTCTTCTGCGCCATCTTCGTCGCTCCAGCAGTCAGCTTAGCCCGTGTTCAGCACCTCGCAAACAAAAGGTCCAAGCATGAATGTGTGTGCCAAACGTACACACTCTCAGCCTGGCGCGGCGCACGGACATTTGCGAGAGCTAAACGGACGAGATCGGCCTAGCCGAGATTCTCCGTCACAACCCTTTATAGCCCTCTTTACCTCTCCTGTTATTATCACTTTACTTATAACACTCTGATCGCACCAGGGTCTCTTTTCTTCTTCCTTTCTTCTTTTTTCACTTCTTTCTTCATTCCCTCCCGGGTCTACTTCTAGCTTCTCTTCCGTATCTCTGTGTTCCATTCTTTCTTCTTCCACAGGACTAAAATGCTTCACTCATTCTTCCTCAGAGATCCTGGAGTCCTTTCTGCTTCTCTTTTTTCTAAAACTTTTCAATGCTTCCCAAAAGTCTTTTCTCTCTTACTTTTTTCGAGCCTTGTCCACTTTCCTTCCGCTAACTCCCTTTTCTTCTTGTTTTCCAGCTCTCGTAGCATTTTCCTTCCTTCATTATATTCTTTTCTGTCCTTATCTTCTTTTGTTAGTAAATATTTGTTAAGTTTTTTTCATACTCGTCTACTCATTTCCTTGTATTCCGTGTCCTACCAATCCCTCACCTTTACAATTCCTCTCGTCCTATTCTTTATCGCTCTTAGTAGCCCTAGTATTTCTATTACTTCCAGTAAACTCTCTTTTATCCTTTTCCATCTTCCTTCTTTTGTTTTCGTGTTCCAATCCTTCTCTTCTCCTTTCCTTCTTCTCATACTATCCTCAATGCTGCTCTCTGTTCATCCTCTTCTCCAACTAGCTCCTCCCCTACTTCAGAGTATTCCTCTGTTCCTGTGTTAACCTTAAATGAAATGGGTAGGTGGTCTGATGCTAGGCTTCCCTGTATTTCCATTTTTTCCATTATATCTCTATTTGTATCCTGCCTTTCAACTACGAGGTGTGTTCAAAAAGTAAGGTGACTTTTCAAATTTCACGGGCAACGTACTTTCAATTATCGATTTTGTTATGTTTTGTTTTGTTATGTTGGTACACTCTTCCCGAACATCTGTATCAAGTTTCAAGTGTATAGCATTTTTTGTTTGGTTGTGAGAGGCGTAAAGGTTATAAGTGTTTTGCGTGCTCGGCGATTTCTTGCTATCGAAAAATATGGATCAAAGGATTTGCATCAAATTTTGTGTAAAAAATAAAATAAAGTGCTCCGAAACACTTGAAATGTTGACGGTGGCATACGGTGAAACTGTTCTGAGTAAAAAAAATGTTTACAAGTGATACAAACTCTTCCAAGATGGCCGGGAAGATGCCAATGACGAGCCTCGCTCTGGACGCCCAAGCACGTCAACAACTGATGAAAACTTTTAAGCAGTGAAGAAAATTGTTCTGGAAAATCGTCGAATCACTATCAGAGAAGTTGCTGAGGATGTTGATATATCGCTTGGCTCGTGCCATGGAATTTTTTCTAACGTTTTAGGCATGAGACGTGTGTCAGCGAAGTTTGTTCCGAAATTGCTAAATTTTGACCATAAGAACCGTCGCATGAGCATCGCTCAAGAACTGTTGAATGACGTCAACGACAACCCAGATTTACTCAAAAGGGTCATAACTGGTGACGAATCATGGGTATATGGTTATGATATCGAAACCAAAGTCCAATCGTCCCAATGGAAGAGCCCAGATGAGCCAAGACCGAAAAAAGCACGCCAAGTTCGATCAAATGTCAAAGTTTTGCTCACTGTTTTCTTCGATAACCATGGCGTGGTGCATCAGGAGTTCTTACCATATGGACGTACGGTCAATAAACAGTATTATCTTGAAGTTATGCGTCGTTTGCGAGAAGCAATACGAAGAAAACGCCCAGAATTGTGGAAAAACAATTCATGGCTTTTGCATCACGATAATGCCCCTGCTCACTCATCTTTGCTTGTGAGAGATTTTTTGGCCAAAAACAAAACCACAATCATGCCTCAGCCACCATATTCACCGGATTTTCTTGTTCCCAAAACTAAAGAGACCTATTAAAGCACGGAGATTTGCAATGATTGAAGAGATAAAGACTGCATCGCTGGAAGAGCTCAAGGCTATACCGAAAAGTGCTTATGAGAAGTACTTTGAGGATTGGAAAAACCGTTGGCATAAGTGTATTGTATCTGAGGGGGATTACTTTGAAGGGGACAACATAAATATTGATAAATAAATAAATATTTTTTCTTAAAAATACAAAGTCACCTTACTTTTTGAACACACCTCGTATATCTTTATAAACACGAAATAACTAAGAAATAATTCATCTTTCATATTTCAACACGAAGTAAAACAAATAATAGAACGATAATGAATTATTCTTTATTTTGCAAATTTTCCTAATTGTATTATGATAGATAATTATTAAATCATTGTATTTTATAAGTTATTACGATTTATTATTAATTTTTTAATATTAAGTAAGTATTATGCATCTTTATAGTCAATTAAATCTGCGATAGTAATTATAAATAATAAAGATAATTACTGAAGAAGGGGATTTCTATCCAACCACCCCGTGGCTATTCGCATGCGTTAGTCTTTCGGCCCATCGAAGACTGTAGTTTATTAGAGATAAACGATATTAATTTTATTCACCGTATTACGCTATTTCGTTTCCTATTAGTTTCCTATTAGAAAAATAGATTAGTAATTAAAGGCTACAAAATATTTTTGTAAAACAATGAATATTATATTTACAGTATTATTTACAGAAACTGTTTTAGGGCATGACTAAACCAATCATTTTTATACAACTCTCTAATTTTTTAAATAAATCTGTGGAAATATTCAATAAATTATTTTATATGTAGTTTAAATGGTATTTGTGAGGTAATAGAAATGTCTGTAGTACTATCTTTATTAATATCTATTTAATATCTTTTCATAATTCACTTTGAAAAGATTTGTTGAATATTACTTAGAAATTACCTCCTGTTATGTATGGAAATAATTAGATTCATTACATTTAGTAAAAGACTACAATCTACATATTTGCTACAGAGACTCAAATTAGGTGAGATATTGCTAATGAAAAATTGATTTAGAATATGTACGACTCAAGTATTTAAATGAATATGTGAGAGTGTTACATATTTGAAATTGTATATCAATGAACAAGAAGATTATTTTACTTAGTAATGTACAACAATACAACATTCCCTAACCATATCATCCGTTTCAATTCAGTTTCAAGTACTTGTTTAAATAAAAGAAATTTATATATGGAACAAAATTTGTTTAGCAAACTGGTGTTAACGCACCTAATAACTTAAAGTAAAATAATTTATGTATACTGCATAATATATTACAATAATTTATACATATATAAATTGATCACTCAATCCTTTTTTTTAGGACAGTCAGAAGCTGAAGTTATCAATTGTACTACAGGTAAAGATGAACTTGGAAAACCGTCCAGACTTTCGAAGCAAAAACTTTTCGGAAAATTTTATAGTCTACTGGGGAAACTTGACACAATTGATGACGTGGATATCTTAATCTGTCATAATTATTTAGATGCTAAAGCTTCGGTTCAAGATTATGCGGTAAGAAATATATTTCAACTTATAAAAGAGGTCGTATCTGATAAGATCTGATAACTTCGATATTTATGATAAAAATATTAAGAACTATATAAAGAATTAAGTTTGTGTCTGTGGTTATATCTGTCGTTTTCAGAATAGTATTATATGTGTATTTATTAAATTATATTAATATATGTGTGACGTTATTCTAACGAGCTAAATGTCAGAAGATATTTTTAGCAAACATCCAAAACTTGTCAGGTAGCTATCGATGGCTAGTCAGCTATATTTTGTGAAAGCATAAATATTGGAGAGATAGTAAAATCTCGAAAGGAAATCCAGGATTGATAGATTTGTTAGCTCTTCGAGTTAAGACTTATTTTTAAACGATAATTCTTCGCAAACAAAAAAAAGAAGAAATGGCCGTCTTTTGAGTTCCTCAATCCTTTCATTCGAGAATTTAGTCACACTGAGTTTATTCAGCATTACCGTTCTACGAATGATAAATGAGTGCTTTATGTTTTAGAGCAAGGTATAGGGAAATGGAAAAGCATGGGTGAGTTTTTGATTGATCTATGTGAAACAGTTGATTCATCGAAAAGAAGGATATGATGTGTCAAGTAGAAAGGACCGCTGTTACATTGTTGATAATTTTATAGAAGAAAGACACAAGAGCTAGTTTTTGCATAGAATCCAATAGCACCCAAGATAAGGCATTTCAGTTTTAGTTTATGATCGATCACATAAAAAGTTACGTCACTACTGAAGATGAAGAGATAATGTCATTTAAAAAATGTATACACGTATCGTATTCATTTGAAGTTCACTTGCATGCACTTTATTAAGGTTAATGAATACTGTGGATGCATAAGATAAATAGATTCCAACCATGTATTTCTTAAATGCGTTAAACATTGACTTCTTGCGAAACTCAAAGGAGTAAAGTGAGTTATAAGCTCTCCAAATGACATCTGTTACATTATGTAACACGTATTAGCGTGGGGGGTCAATAAGTCTTTACAAAATCTAAGAGATGGTGCTCGTCATGCTTAAATTATGAAGTTTTTGGCAAGCAATACTACTAACTAGATATCGTACAAAGTTTCAGTTCGATTCATTAAGTCGTTTTTGTGTGAGCGTTGGTTGAACAAAAAGTTATTGGTTTATTTGAAAAATGGAAAAAACAGAGTTTTGAGCGGTGATAAAACATTTTCATTTAAAAGGCCTTACACCAAAAGAAATCACAGTTGAGTTAAACGCCGTTCATGGCAAATCTGCACCTCTGTTCAAGACTGTTTATAACTGGGTAAATGAATTGAAACGCGGCCGTACAATAAAAAAAGATGAACCTCGTTCAGGACGCCCCATAGAAATGAGTACGCCCGAAATGGTTAACGAAATCCACGATATGGTGTTGAGTGATAGAAGATTAAAATTGCGAAAATTAGTTGAGGCCACAGCGCTATCAAAGGGTAGAATGATTTCAATTTTGCATGAAAAATTGGGGATGAAAAAAATATCAGCAAGATAGGTGCCACGTTTGCTCACTGTTGAAAACAAACGAACCTGCATGGTCACCTCTGAGGCTCTTTTGGCACGAATACGTCGTAATCTGGAAAACTTTTGGCGTTGACTCGTAACTGTAGATGAAACATGGGTTCACCACTACACTCCTGAAACCAAAGAACAGTCCAAACAATGGATTACCGCGGAAGAACCAGCTCCAAAGAAGGCAAAGACAGTAAACTCAGCTGGCAAGATTAGGGCCACGGTTTTCTGGGATGCGTATGGAATCATCTACTACTATCTAGTACATCGACTACTTGGAAAAGCGTCAGACGCTCACTAGACAATATTTTGCGTCATTATTAGGTTAGCTGAAAGAAAAAATCATAGAAAAACGTCCTCTCTTGAATAAAAAAAATGCCTCTTTCTTCGAGACAATGCTCGAGCTCACACGTGTGCAGTTTTGATGGCAAAAATGAACGATTTAAAGTTCGAATTAATTGACCATCCACCATATTCGCCTAATTTGGCTCCCAGTGACTTTTTCTTATTTTCTAACCTCAAAAATGGCTTGCTGGACAACGATTCACGTCGAATGAAGACGTTATCGCCGAAACAAATGCCTATTTTGAGGGTTTTCAGAAATCATATTTTTCTGATGGCTTAAGAAAACTGGAAGGCCGTTTAATAAAATGTATCGATCTTCAAGGAGATTATGTTGAAAAATAAAAAAAAATTACATACGCAAAACTTTTTTTTCCTTCTTTTTGTAAAGACTTATTGACTCCCCCCCCCCTCGTATGTATAGATAAATAACATTTGAACAACGAATAAACTATGAATAGTAATAACAGATAAGAAGTAATAGAGATAATAATGAATTAAATAATACCAGCTAAACATTAAATAGTTTTACATGTTATTGCCTTGCAGTTAAAAATGAGTAAAAAACAAGATCAACGAGTTTCCTTCAAATTTTGTTTTCAACTTGGAAAAACGAGTTTAAAGACTATTTAGATGATACAAAAGGCTTTTGCGAATGAATATATAAGCAAAACAGGGATAAAAGAGTTTCAAAGGAAGCCACACTTTTGTTAATTATTCTCATTCTGGCTGATCTACAACAAAAACATTGCGTAATATTGAGCGAGTGCAACTTGCGATCTAACAAATTCACCGTATGCGCTTTGCGGGAATGAAAATAAGTCTTGGAATACTAAAAACTATAATTTGGGAAATTGTTTACCTCAAATTTACAAATGACACGCATGTATGTGAAGTTCATTTCAAAATTGCCCAGAGCAGAGCAAACAAACTTTGCTTAGAAATCGCTTAGAACAACTTAGTAATGATCATTAACGATGATATTATGTATCAAAAGGTTATTACTGATGATGAATCATAGATTTATAGTATAATCTTGAAACAACAGAACAGTCTTCACAGTGGAATCACTCTAACCAGAAGAAGCACGTCAAAGTCGGAGCTATGTTAAATCAATGTTGATTGTTTTTTCGATTGTGAAGATATTATACACCGCGACTATGCTTTGATTCAAACCATATTGCGCTCAAATTTTGAAATGTTTGCGTGAGGCATTGAGAAGAAAACGCCTGCCACTTTTGGTCAAGTGGTAACTTGCTTCTCCTTCATGACAATGCGTTAGTACATTCATCGAATCTTGTACAGAAAAATTGTATAAAAGCATACTTTAACAGAAAAATAGGTCAATTTTATTAGATTCACCATCTCGGATTTGTATTCGGATGTCAAATTTTAACTTTAGATTATAATCAATGACTCAAAAAAACTCTAGAACTACAGTGGTAACTACAGTGATCCCGCTATGACTCAAAGAATTAAACCAAGGTGCTACCTTATCTATAGACTTAGTTGTGTTAGGGCAATTGACCAAATTTATTATCTTATATGGAGTTTGACATCACATCTAGATGAAAACTGTTATTTTCTAAGCAAAATTCATAATTATAATCTTTTGTAACAAACAAAAGTACTTTTTTAGTTAATTTTAATGTATAGATGTATAGATTCCTAATATAAACTTATTATATGTATTTCTTAATTACTAACTATCGAAATTTGATTTACATGTATAAATGATTAGTAATTTTGCAACATATAATTGTAACAATAATTCGAATGTAACTAAGTGTAGATACCGATTTAAGAAAGATAATTAAGATTGATAAATAAGATTGATGCGATAATCAATTATTGAACAAAGTTATCACTAAATAAAAAATTAATAGTTTATTTACACAAAAAATTTGCATTGTGAGATAGCGATCAGAACATACATACTTGTAAAATTAGTAAAAACGACTGTTATCTGCTCATCAATTTGATATTTGGACAAAACATATTTTTGAATTGTTAAATTAATTGTTGTTCAAATTTTATTTGTTAAATTAACAAACTCTATCTTGGATATACTACTACGTATCATAAACTATACGAGGGTGGTCCGATAAGTACTTAGCCTACAAAAGAAAAACGAAAATTTTGGAAAAGTGGCGTTTTATTTTTCATCATAATCTCCTTTTAGTTCGATACACTTGTCCCAGCGATGCTCCAACTTCTTTAACCCGTCTGAAAAATACGTTTCCTCGAGGTCTGAAAAGAAGGCTTCTGTGGCAGCGATTACCTCCTCATTCGACTCAAATTTCTGCCCGGCGAGTGACTTTTTCAAATTTGGAAACAAAAAGAAGTCGCACGGGGCTAAATCTGGAGAATACGGTGGATGGGGCAGCAGTTCGTAGCCTAATTCGACCAATTTGGCCATGGTAACGACGGAGGTGTGAGCCGGTGCGTTGTCATGATGGAAGAGCACTTTTTTCTTCGCCAAATGGGGCCGTTTTTTCTGACAATATCAACATCCGACGAGCGCTAAAAAGGCACTGTAAACAAAGACACGTTGCGCATGAACTATACGTCCGGCAGGTGTCAGTAAGTAACCATTAGATTCGTGAGGCTTTACTGTTGACGATTCTGTCCGGTAGAGGTCGCTCGAATCAAGCATGATATTACAAAAATATTGAGGTAATAAGAATGAAAAATAGGTAGCCGATATATCGGCTTCTGTGACTGAAAGGGTCAAGAAGTTTTAAAAACTACGTTTTGGGAATTGTTTCTCGATTTTTAGTTTTTCATTCAGTCAATATTATCCGACAACTTTTTTTAAGTGGTTTATACACTGCAATATCTAAAGGCTGCGTTAGGTGTGTCGCATTTGTAGGGAGCAAGACAAAAGAGGTATTGTTTTTCTGGCAATTTTTGATCACTTCATGTGAAATATGACTTGGCAAATTCTTTCCAATGATAACTTTTTTACCGAGTTTCTTTTTTAAAATTGGCAAAATTAAAGAGATAAACCAGTCTTCAAACAGTTCCATATTAAACCAACCACTAGTGCTTCTGTTATAGCGAGCACCTTTTATACCATTCTCAACCCACGTTAGATAAAGATGACTTGATTTATAAACGTTATTTGATGG